AGCCTCAGCTATTCTGAGATTTAGCACATCTGATATTACTTTTACAGAACTGTATTATTCCTTTATATTCATCATCTGTTACTTGCCCTCCATCTTCTTTACAAAACTTCTACAAAATCCAAGTTGCATGGTGAGTTCCTTGTGCATCCACGTTAGTCTCTTCAGAAAACTCCAGTTCTTCTTTTTCATTGGCATCGTTTCCCTTTGTGTCGTCAGATTTCACTCCTGGGAATTTTCCATTCTTCCTGGGTTGTCTTTCTATGTCGATCTTTAGGCCATGAAATCCTACTTAGCTTCCTCTGAATCCTTTACAGTTTGCTTTCACAAAATCTAGAACACTTGCCAAACTGTGCCCAGCTTTCGTTTGGGAAATTATGCTCTGACACTTTGGAAATAGTGGTTGCTTTCTCCCAGAGTTCCTCTGTTTCTGGCCCAGCAATGAATTCCTTCCAGTAATTAAGAATCAGTTCTAGAATAAGACTTAAAAAATTTTTTTTTAATCTAACAATCATCAACAAACTTTAGTATTTAACTAAATGAAAAAACAAAGTATTACATATAAAACTGAACTGTGAGGATTCTTTTAAAAAGTTTAACAATAAAAAATTTCCTCTGTTAGTATATTCTCCTAAGCTTTTATGTTTTCTTCTTATACTGAAAAATTATTGATTTTCTTGAACAAATTTTTCCTTTTTAACTTTTTCTATCTTTTGGAGGATTTGAAGACGAATAATACTAATGAAGGATGAGGACATTTGTTTTTGTGAATGTTTTGAGATGCAATTTTTGAGTGAAAACTTTTGTAATGAAAATATCCATGCGGGTATATAATAATTGGACTGACCGTGTCACTCTCCTGTTCACAGACCTTCAGTGGCTTTCTGTCTTCTATGGAACAAAATTCCAACTCTTTAGCCTAGAATTTAAAACTCTTCAGCATTTTCTTTTCAGCCTTATCACCCATGACTCTACTTCGCCAGCTGTATCTTTCAGTTAAAATGGACTGCTAGCTGTTCCCTGAAGTTTACTGCCTTTGTGAAGTGATCCCCTATGCCATCCCCCAGCCCTGGCCTTCAAGGCTAAGGTCAGAGGCCTCCAGCTTAGGAAATTGATCTACTGGTTATTAGCTTTCTCTTCTCAGTTTACCTTGTGTATTCTCTCCATGCCATTATACTTATTTTTTGATGATAAAAGATTGCATTTATATGAAGCATTTTACTACAAATAGAGTATTTTAATATATATTATCTTGTTGAGATTAGCTTGGTGGGATTCATAGGACAGCCCTGGAATTATAACTATCTGTGTTCAGGTTCTGCCTCTGACTCATGTTAGATATATGACTGTACAAATCACCACTTGAACTTTTAGTGTCCCAGTAAAAAGCTGTTTAAGACTCGAGCTTTTACAACAGGTACTGAGCTACACTGGTAAAAGGAATTTCCTCACTGGCAGCTCCTTGTACCAATGAAATCACAGGTCCAGGATGCATTTTATGAATAACAAGACTGAGTTTCAGCAGAGTTAAATGACTTGTGCTTGGTCACACAGCTGGAATTTTTGTGGAGCTGGGATTCTGACTCAAAGCCCAGGGCCATAGACTTAAACCAAAGCTAAGTTGGAAGTGTGTTCCCAGAGGCCTCATTGGTGGTGAAGTGCTTGTATAAATGTAATCCAAAAATTGTTCTGTCCCTAGATACCTTGTAGCCACTGCTGAGCACTGCATCCTCTCCATCTTTACTAAGGGACATCTGTCTGTTCTGTACCCACACAGGTGCATCCTGGGTTCAGTCCAGGGGTTGCTTGGTCCTGGTAATGAGGCTCTTTTTTCTGCTCTTTGGTTTTTTTATACCCCATCCTCACGTCCCAACTCTGGGGCCTTTGAGAAAATTAAGTTTAGGCTTATATCAAATATTCTCCCCCAAAAAGGGAAATACAAAGGTAATAATGTACAATCCAGTATAAGTTAGCTATTTATTTCCTCTATGCAAGAGAGATGCTAAACATGAAGGCTCTCTGATAGGCACCCAGTTAATGGAGACTTAAAACAGAAACAGTATCTGTTCCCAGGAGATTTAAACTTCAGAATGTGAAGCTGTCTGTGGGACTGCTAAGTAGGCATTTTATATTTCTGTACCTAGGACAATCAACAACCACCATTTCAGTGCCACACTGTCCAAATAACATGCTCCAGGTCCATGTCTTCTGCCAAGTCAGCTATCAGTGGCTGTGTTGTCTGATGGAGATGCTCCCCTTACCACCAGGCAGCTTCAGTGAGGGAGGGACTCAGGACCTGTGATCTCTCATACTCACAAGATTGCATCTCACAGTGGACACATCTGTTTCAGCCCTCATGTTTGGACAGCACTAATCAAGAGAGAAAAAAAGCAGAAGCAGGTATGCAGGGGCCATAAGATCAGGCTCAGACTTGCATAAGCCTACACATATGCATTAGCTGTCATGTGCTCCCAGTTTGTCATTTCTCCCAACTTTGAAGGGGAAGGCACCCGTTCTCTCTCCTTCCATCTTGAATAATTTTGACGCAGTCCTCACACGAGGACATGTTGTATCTCTCTCCACAGATAAAAATTCCTTGAGAATGGGGCTGTTATTTTTTTGAAGGGATTATCTATCACCTGGCATCTGCCTTGTACAGAATAGATGATTAATGTATATTAGTTGAACTGAATCAATCAGCAAGCATTTGTTAAGCACCTTCTATGTTCTAGGCAAAATGTGGAGTACTTGGGCCATAAAGACATAAGCTGAAATGAGCCCATGTCTTCAGAGAACATTCTTATAGGTTTTAGCATGTACATAAAATAGGTGTATAGAAGAAACACACAAAGCAGGCGCAGAATTATCTTGGAGGGAAGGCACAAGCAGCTGGGTGGGTGGGTTGGGGGGAGGGCCAAGAAAGGCTTTCTGGAGCAGGTGGCACTTGAGCTGAGTATTGAGGAAGTCCAGGAATTCTGAAATGTTGGAGATGAGGATGGAGAGCATTCCAGGTGGGGAGATTAGCCAGGGCAGAGGCATGGAGCGGCAGAGGCACTTGTGTACGCAATAGCAGGTGTGCTGGGAACCCAGCAGATAGAGTGCAGTAATGTGTTGAGGTCACTGGAAAAGGTAGAAAGGGGGCAGGTGGTGAAGTGTTCAATGCCAAACAGGAGTTTGTATTTGATCCTTGATGTGATGGTGAGCTGGGGGAGTTTACTGAGCAGTAGAGGTGGCAGTTAGGCCATAGCTTAAAAACAGAGCTCAGAAAACAAGTCAGAATTATTGCATTCTGGTTAATTGAGGTTTTAGTGATTTAAAACATTTATGATGGACCTGAAAACATATAATTTTTAGTATCTTATCTTCAGAGTTTTTACATAGGAATTTTTATGAGTAGGTTGTAAAATGAGTATCATCTTTAAAAATTACCCTTATTTATAATGTGTTTGAATGTCTCAGTATATGAAGTGAAATAGCAGTTGCTATAAATATATTTTGATAACATTTAGATAATAAGTATACTTATTTAGGCTAATAACCTATGCATATAAGTAGGAGAAGCAGCATGGTGGTGTGGACAGAGATCTGGCCTCAGTCCTTCAGGAACTCAAGAGCTTTGGTCCAGCATCTGTCCCATGCTGGCTCTGTGATACCTGTGACCTCGGGCAGTTGCCTCGCTTCTCCCTCAGTGCTCCCTGTCACTCCCTAAGACTGAATTGAAGAGCAGGTGCCCACCTGCTTTAGTAGAAAGAATTTTTTTACTGGGAATTTCCTGTACTAGTGAAATCAACAGGTTTGGATCCTACTTGCCGCCGCCCCTCCCCCCCCCAAAACCAAACCCACATACAACCAACCAAGCCACCAAACTCCTATGCAGAACTGTATGTTACAGTTATTTGAGTTTATTTTATACTTGACCTAGAGTTAGTTATTTTCAAAATTAAGTCCAAAAGCCCCGTAACAACGCAGTAATGTTATAACATTTCCCCATAAGTTTTTTAAAGAATTCGGAAACCTTGTCCAACTAAATCTAATATGTGATTTTTTTTTTAAGCTAAAGGTGTTTACTTTTGTCATAAATCTTGATCGGGCTTTTATGAATGACTCCTATGGACATAATATTTCCCAAGACAGATCAATGCAAATTGAATAACAAAAATCAGAATTTGGTGGTATGTTGTCAAGACTAGCACACAAGTAACAAGGAATTGCTCGTTAATATTCATTTGAAGTATTATAGCCTTAGAGAATGGTCATTTAACTTCTCTTTTGCTAGCCGTGGTTATTTTTGCTATATAAAAATCTGTTAGTGTCTTATCAGCAATATCAACAAATAATTTATCTACTTCACTGCATCGTCATGGATGTGCCCAGTGTTCTGGATTCAGTTTGATTTTAATGCTGTTGTGATTTGGCTACAGCAAGTTATCAGAAAAGAGGTTAAAGAAATAAGACTAAGGTTAAATTCAGGCTTAAAAGTATATTTTACTAGCTGTGTTTTACTTTGTGATTACATGTTGCTTCATCATACTGCTTTGCTTGTCTTAGCTTGTTTTCATGATCTGGGAGGGTGATGGAATGTTCTAGAATATTATAAAAGGCTTCTTTATTTCATTATAATACTGTCTAGGGACAGTGGGAAAAATATGTAATGTGATAAGATGCATTGTATCTCTTATGTGGATCTGATTATGTTAGAAAGAAGTAACAATGGTTTTATGAGTATGATAGACCTTATAGACCTTATAAAGGTCTATGTAGACCTTATAAAATTTTGCATTAATTTTTGAGGACAAGATAAAACCTTTCTTTTCCTCCATTCATCCCATCTTACATTCTTATGCATCCCACCTTATCATCTGGAATGCAACGTATAATGGAAGTTTGCCATATTTAAGGTAACCTTGACAGCTGCCTCTTTTATAGGCAAATACCCATTTGTTAATTTGGTTTGGGATCTATTTTTCCCCTGTGCGTGTAATTCCAACTTTTTTCTTCTACAGCTACAGAACCTTGGCCTGAAGACGCTACACTTTATCAGCAGCTGAAAGGTGGGTGCTTTATTTCTGCAATTTGTAATGACTTCCTGTTAAAATGTGTTTAAAAGAAACCTCATTCAGTACAATTAACAGCAAAGAGAAACAGAACATTGAGAGGGGACTCCCTTCTATTTGTCTTAAGAGTAACTTTTAGCTCAACTTGCATTTGCCAATATAAACCAAGTATTCATGGCCTATAAGGTCCTTGGTTTATTATTGACTCATTATATTGGCTGCTGTAGGCAGTGTAAAATGATGTGGTTGCAGGCATCGTTGGCAGATTTACTGCACCAATAGCTGAGGCAGCAGATTTTTGAAGTCTTGTGGTAAAGTGGGCTCTCAGTAAAAAGGAACTGTTAAAATGTATAGGCTAGGATGGTTCAGGCTCCCTTTAGCAGCTCTTCATATATCATCAGATCACATTATGGACCCCATTTGGGGCTCAGCAGCCTGCTACAGTTGTCAGAAGACTGCAAAGTAATGAAGACTAATAGGCAGTGGCCCTAGTCTTCTAAGCATGGAATTTTTATTGCAGCGAACTTGTCATCTTTCTTTTGTGTGACAGACCTAGACACACTGTGCAATATTAACTGCAAGCTGGTTTTATAGGATTCTGAATGCTTTTACTTTTAACTAGAGGAGTTGTGAGCAGATACTATTTTACTTAATTTTGATTGAGTACAAAGGAATTATCCTAGAAAATTTAAAACAAATGTTATTTTGAAGGAGGGATTTTTAAAATTACATATATATTATGTACATATATATCTGATAAGATGAGATAAATGATAAAGCAATTCTGGAGGAAAGATCTTGTTACATTTTACATTCATACATAGGTAATATAGCTGAAAACCATCATCATATAATAGCACTGCTGTAATTACACAATGACATTGGTGTGTAATTTTTTTCTTACAAAAGAAGGCTAAAATTAATTTTTATTAAAAATGACTGTATTTTACCAGTTTAGAAACCACATTTTTGAATGGATATCCTTTCATTTTCTTCCTACAGGGGAACAAATTTTGCTTTCTGATAATGCTGCTTCTCTTGCTGTTCAGGTAAATAAATATTTATTTTAAATGGAGATGTTACATTTCTCTTGAAGATTTACTTCATTTTAAGTTGGAATGAATTTTTTTCTTTTCAAGGTACTCTAGCACTATATATTTAAAAATTTCTAATATGATTTGATGTAGTTATATAATACTGCCTTATTGGTGCAGTTGTATTAAATTGAATTTTAAATTTTAATATTTTTTATTTAGCAAATGTTTGTCAACTTAAAATTTCAACCTTCATGATCTTTTTTAAGTACCTATTTAATAAAGTACAGCTTTTCTGTCTAGATTGGTAGATGACAGTAATGAAGGAGAGTACACAGTATATTCATGTTTTTTTAATAGTAATATTTATAAAGATTAAAGTGTGTGGATGGTAGTTTAGACATCTTTAGTTTTAGGCATCTTCCTGTTCATTCTGTCTTTAATCCAGCTTGAAATATCTTGAAGAAACTTTATTCATTTATAATTGTTCGTTATGTACACATTGTTCACAGATTGATGACTGTCAGAATTATATTGGAAAAGATCCCTGATTGTGTAATCCTCAGACTGTACTTTTGAAAAAAGTAGTGGTGTATTTGGAAATTGTGTACTTTTACAAAAAACTCTTTAGGGAGGAATTAGTTTCATAATATAGGTTAATATAAATTACAGTATTTTATTTTTAGGTTTGGTCCCATTTATTTGGATTAAGTAATTTAAAATGATCAAGGAAAAATATTTTCAAAAAGTAAAGATGACTAACAAGCTAATAGGAAAATATGAGAAAGTTAAGAAGGAAGTATTCTTTAGAGAATGAAAAGTAAAAAGGTATTGTGCATATACATATGAGTATGAAAAGTTATGCAATAATTCTTTAATTAAAAAATATTACATTCTTTTAAGAACTCAAAGTATACTTTTAAATAAGTTTTTATTGTTTTATGTGGTGATATGCCAATTAATGTGTTTCTTTTGTGTGTAATTTTTTGCATGAGTGGAATTTCTCAATTGGCTGTTTATGTATTCTCATTTAAAATCAGTACTTTATATTCCGTCATCTTAACTAACAAGATTTCAGTTGTAATATAGAGAATCTTCACAAAGTCTACATGTGCTTTTATTGAGACTGTTTTAACTTTGTTTTTATTGCTCTTGTAACCTACATTGGCTTATACCTGACATCAGAAAGTTTTTGAGTAGTATAACATTATACTTTCCACTTTTCATCTTTAAAAAGAATGAATAGTTTAGCTAAAGAGTAACATCTTGGGAAATACTGTAGTACATTTTATCACAAAGGTATTTTATGTTGAGATAAATGAGTAAGTTTGTTTATTTAGAAAAGTCCCAAGATGGCAGTGTCCACCCATATTGTTATGTTTTAAATAATCCTTTGAAATGGAGAGAAATAAGCATTTTTGCTGAATGGTTGTTCATTTGATCTTCATGTTGACTTTATCCAACCATTCATATCCTTCTGTGTCTCATTCATTTGAGCACTGGGCCTGCTGCTTTAAAAATAAAAAATCAGTTCAGTTCTGATTTTAAAACCAAACAAAAAAAAAGGTTACTTTTTAAATGTAGAATCTTACTTAACCATTTTACCATTTTAATTTTGTTATCCTACACGTGTCACTTAGATGATAAATTAACTAGAATATATTAAAAATTCTTGTTTTTCTTCAATATTCTTTGGGTTGACAGCTGATAGTAGCCATGACTATAAATGTGACTTTTGCAGATATCTGATTTAAACTTGATGGAGTAATTTTCTTCTGTAGAATAGAGCAGGATTGATTTAGAAGAATGAGTAAAGTGACTCACTTGTGATGTGCAAAACTGATCAAAACAGTACGACAGGTATCCATAAAATGCCTGATTATTTTCTAAAAGATAACAAACTATCAAGCACCAAATATTTTAATAGTCTGCCAGTTTAACATCAGGAAATTTAAATTCAGTTGCCACATAGCTTGATGTTTATTCTGCCTGTAAAGTTGAAGTGGTCAGATCTTTAATGATTAAAGTAATTTTTGTGATTCCAGTTTAAAAGGAGCTTAGTAACTTCCCTGGCGTGTTCTTCCCACGAAATGCTTCCCCTGTGCTTTCGTGGCACTGGTGTGACTAAGAAATAATCCTTGTATATTGATTCCAATAGCTGTGTATTTAGTACGTTAGAGTTTGTTGGTTCCTTTGGTCAATGGAAGGGAGTAGGAGGGAGAGAAAGAAGGAGAGGAGCGAGAAAGAGGGAAAATGGGAAGGCGAGAGACAGAGACACACACACTAGATCCATTTACAGTACATTGCTGCCATTTTTTTCCTCTGGCTTCCAGCTCACTTTCGAGAAAATATTTTTGTTAATGAAAATGAAGTGTAGACCCTTTTTGCTTAGCACTGGACTTACTGCCAAAAGGCTTGATTTTCAGTCACATCTCAGAACTTATTAGCCATGTGACTGTGGGCAAGTGATTTCTCCTCTCTGGACTTCAGTTTGTAAAATTCTAATGATAAAACTGATATTATCTGCCTCACAAGATTGTCATGAAGAAAACATTTTGAAAACTTTAAAGAACAGTTTAAATGCGTGGTGTTATTATCAGTTTAAAAAAAATCATCTTTTGTTAACCTAAGCCTGTTGATTTAGAAAGATGGATAAATAATAGCTTTTAAAGGTTTACTTCAGTAAAACTAAATTCTTTAAGGTGTCTGCTCTCTAGACTCAAGAGGCTTTTTTTTTTTAAGTAATAAGTTGTGAAAATGCCAGAAGCTCTTTTGGTTGAAAAATGGATATAACTGAGTTACCATGTTTGTTCCTTGTTCTTCTCATGGTTTTGTGGAAGTATGTAGTAAGATAGCCGAAAGGTAGCAGTCTTTCCAGCCTCCTATTTATTTATTCGTATATATTCGCAAACGTGAAAATGGATGCTACACTAATTTTTCTTAGGCCTTTGGATAGTTGTCCAACAGATAGTGAACATTAATTTTTGACTTTCTAGAAAATGCTGTTACTGTTTTATGTTTATTTGTAGCACTGAAAAGTATTTAATATTATATCTTTCATTTTCCTCATCTGTCAAGTAGGCGTAATACTGACTACCTGACTCAAAGGACTGTTACGAAGCTCAGATTAAATCATAGGTAGCAGAGCTCTTTGAAAGTATGGAAAGTACTTAAAAAATGAAAGTAGTGGTGTTTAGGTTTTGAATAAATAACTTTCATTGAACAGAAAAAAATTGTATGTGTGCCTTACAGATTATGGTGGAATGAAAAAATAATGTTTTAAGATAATTTTTTATTCTGTTATTAATTTTTTTAAAACTCAAAATTCATTTAAACGAATCCTGAAGAGTAATACTCAAAAGGATCTGAACATAGTTATATATGGGGATTGTTCAGAACGCCTGACTTTTAAAACATCCAACGATATAGTAAAGATCTTTTAAAAATTTGTAATGCTCATTACTGGAGTACTGCATGGAGGGAAAAACTTTTCCTTTGGTGAGTTTTTAAGTTTAGAAAGGAAAAAAGCTAATGTTCCCCTTAGTTTCCTTTTCCTTTAACTTTCTGAAAAAAATATCCTTTCTCCTAAAAGGAAAAGGAGATGTCAACAAGAACTAACTCTTTACCTTGTATTAGTCAATTGAATCGTGTAAAAAAAAAAGTCAGCATTTTTATAGGCCCTATTAATGCAGGGCCATGAACATGAACATGTCAGACCTGCCGATAAAGAAATAGCTGAGTCTTGCTTTTTTTTCCTTTCAGCAAAATGTGCCTTTTTGTTGACACATTAATTGGTGGTGAAATGGTTGTATTCTAATGGTTCACCCTTATTGGCTGCTTTTATTTTAGTCACTGGTCATTTCTTAACTGATAGTCAGTGGCTAGATTGACAGTTCTTAGGCAAGCCAAACAAACTGTCATAATCACTTCCAGCTAGAATTGTCCTGATTCCTATCATTGCACGTGTATATGAGGGGAAAAAACAACATTTTAGAAAAGGGGCTTATAGGAATCAACAAGAACCTTTACAGAAATGATTTATAACATGTATTTGTCAGTCCCATAAACTAATGTCATGACATTCAGGAGACAACTGAAAAGTTCCTGAGGGAATATTTTCAGATTTCCTGACATACATTAGTCAGGTACTTTTCTACTTTAAATAAGACTTTTCACAGGAATTGTAGGGGTATGTATGCATAACAACTAAATATAGAAGTTGGGCTGATGTCACACGTTAATGTAAATTAATATGTTTAAAAGTAGGAGCTAGTAACATAACATTACCTTAAAATGTTAATAAAATTTGACATAACTTTGTGAAAGTAAAAAGAAACCACTTGTCTTTGGGGTGAAATTAATTTTTCCTCCTGAGTTAACCATTACTTCCCTCACTCCTGTCTTCTTCAGTCTCTTCCCACAAACTCCCTAATTACCTCTTAAAGAGAAGAAACTAAGTCAAGCACCTTAAATCTTTAAATATATTCATCCTCTTATTGGTAGTATGTTGGAGAAGGGATAGGAATAGTAGACCTAAAGAAGCTTCAGGGAAAATTTGAATAGGGTAGGGGGTTTTACATCCTTTCAGTTTCAGTGTTATGTAAGAGCCCCCAAATGAATGCTTTCTATTTGCTTTCACTTAATTCAAATTCCTGAGGTGAAGTAGTGTTTATTATGTCATCTCTGCATACCTGATAAAACAAAACATTTTGTGGTTTAGCTTTGGGCTGGTTTATACGTATAAAATATGAACTTTGTCAAAAATAACTGAGCCTTTGTGCTTACGGTTGGTTATGTGTAGAATCTAATTTAACAGATATTTCTCTTTTCCTTTTGAAAGTTACCGTGTATGAACAAAGTAACTTAAAATTTACATATCACATCCTATGGTGTCACTGAAATTTAAAACTAAAGACTTTACCCAAAGACTTCATAATACAGATATATGATTATTTCTGTGGTAAATAGATTCTCTTGGTCAAGAATTCTTAGAGACTTGTAAGTTAGTATTACCA